TATCAAGTACATACCGTTTCGTTTAAACGGTACCCTCACAAGTCACAATTAAGATTAAGATCATCTTTAAGATGATCTTAATCTTAATTCTGACGTGCATGTAGTTACGACTGTCTTAACTCACTGTGCTCTCGAGGGGAACATTAAGACAACAAATAGGCGCCCATCAAGACTGACCCGGTTCGTCTTAATTCTGCCGTTTGAATTAAGACACACTGGCGTCTTAAAGACGTCGAAATTTAGGATCTCAATCTTATTCCAGAGACTATTTACAGTGAATAAGACTGGTAGCTACCTGCTCCATTTAAGACCATCAGTTAATTAAGATGATAGCTCACTGCTTAACTGACTGTCTTGATCAGACTGATAGTTTGCCGTTCTCAAAGTTATCTCTCCAAGTCCTTCTCACACTTTCTCCGTTGTAGGAGAAGGTGAGAGAAGGTGGGAGAGATGCAGAGTCGTCCTGGTCGCATGGTGCATTGCTTATATACCCCAGGACTTCGTTTGATTTCCCCACACACCCGTGACCCACCAGCCATCATACCAACGTGGATGTTTGGTTGACAAACATGCCCTGGGTATATAAGCTGCAGCCCCTCTTCGGTATGCCACCATCTCTTTCTCTCTTTTCCCTCACCTTTCTCCAGGGTGTGAATGGGAGAGACGGAAAGAGCACCAGCCGCCGCCCGCCTCTTGAACACGACGGTGCGCAGCGAGTGTGGTGTCCCTACCGAACCACATTAAGATAATCTTAATTAGTAGCGACACATCACCCAAAATTTAAGTATGTCGAGTGAAATTTAAGTTGTTCTTGTAACGCCGGTAGGGGATTATCTTAAAGATTATCGCCCGCATCTTAAACCCAGATTAAGAGCCCACGATACTGGGCGTCTAGCTTAATGTGTATCTTAGTTAAGACATCGCAGGATACAGGTAAGCTTAATAATTAAGATAAGGACTGTCTTAATTATCGTCTTATCTTAATTATGAGTCGTGAAGGCACCGTTTAAACGAAACGGAACTGGTTACTGTTTCATTAAGGACTAAGGCCTCAGACCTTGTTCATAATCTTCTACTTCCCCACATCTCACATTACTACAGCCCAGTAGCAGCTCAAGAGCGCGAGTCCCAGATCTTTACCACTATCTGACAAACATCTCATATTAGGAAGTGCTGTGCAAATCATGGATGAATTGACAAGCGTGGCTACTGAAGAACCAACGTATGTCCCACTTTATCAAAGTACAGCCTTTGACCAACGGTTCCATAAAGACGGTCTGAGTTACGTGCACAGCAACTCACGCTTTCCCCGCCATGTACCCCTTGTCGCTTCCTCTAGAACTTGTTCAGAATATCAGTGGTCAGGTATGTACCGTGCGCACGAGCACGGCCTCAAGCTCTAGCTCACGGATGATTGGTGTACAGGCAGATATCTCGGATGTGAAGTCTCTACGGCTGGTTTGCAAAGCCTTTGCAGAGGTCGCAGCAGGAGACTTGTTCTATTGCCTGGTGATCGATATGAACAACTTGAAGCCACAAAATGGATTTGATATTCTATTGTCACTGGCAAGCGATGGGTCGCACCCAGCCAGGACTGCCACCCGGGAGCTGTCCATTCAACGAATCGACCTTGATGAGCCAGTGGAGGTGACGTCCTTTCTAATCCCGGCCTTGAAATCTTTGGGAAACCTCAAAAAGCTCAGGTAAGTATCTGGCGATGTGTCGCAATGAGTTCAATTAATTTCTCTGTCTCTAGGCTGTGTTACCTCTTCACTGAGTTAGACTGGATCTACACGCCCGTTCTCGAATGCCTCAAGCCGATGATGCCAAGAATCACCGCCCTAGAAGTGTCGTTGATTTATGCTGATCCCCAGATGCCGGACGACAAAACGAAAGCTTTTACCGCGTTGCTCAACAGTGCTCAAATCTCTCGGCTGACGAGCTTTGCAATTGATTCAAGTCGTGGAGGGGGCCCGCGACAGGATATAGGCTCGCACCTGCCCACCGCAGCACTCAGTGTCATCGAGAAATCGAGCAGCCATCTTCAATCACTCGCATTCAGGATGCCATCCCTGGGCCCTCTCAAAAACACGTCAACTCCAACCACTTTGCAAACGATCTTTGGGCCTAGCACAAGATCATCATTTGCCGTGTTAACACATCTAACAATATCCGATGAAATCATCTGCAACATGCGCAGCTCCACCCCCACCGTTCCCCAGCTCAACTCGCTCAAGCACCTCACATGTATGCCACAAATGACTACAACAATCGATTTTGAACCTCCCATTGTCGGCAATCAACAACCCACATTCGACTTTTGGACAGCCCTCGCAAACACAGGAGTACGGCTACAGAGCATCAAGGGCGCGAGAGCCACTCGAGAACTGTTCCATTATCTGGAGTCATACTCCGGGGAGCTTCAGGAGCTCCATATCAAGTGCTACCGTGCGCACAACGATGGAAAGGACAAGTGGCAAGATCTGGGAGAGGAGCTTTGGAACCGCATCGTACCCCTCCACCACACATCGCTTCGCATCCTTCAAATTCGATCGAATTGCGATGGATGGTGGTCCTTTGGACCTCTAACACAAGACGTCTTCCAGATCCACGCTTTTCCAGAGTTGGAAGAGCTGACATTAAACGTTCACAAACCACCAAAATCATCGGCAGACTCGCAAACTGGATATGTGGTATGTCACATCTAGCTCATGCTGCGCATTCAACCGTGGTCTGACCTCGAGCACTAAACTCAGACAGCTCTCCTGGATCTTGTCTCTCAATCAAAGCTATACAGCTCCCTCAGAGAGCTAGTAATTTCATTCCCTATTCCTGCGCCGCGACATAGTGGGTGCAGGTGCCGGAGAGGAGGCGCCAGACCTGAGATACAGTACGCAAGGACAGAAAGCTCAAAGATATTGGCCCGCATTTGGCCTCCGACAGTTCGGCTGCCAAACTTGACATTTGCAAACAACTACAGTCCCCACACCCAATTGCTTCCAGTAATGATCCACGAAGGATGCATGTACAAACTTTCCGAGGCTTTGGAGGATATTCCGCTGGGCGTGCAACACATACGCTTCATTCCTAGGTCACCTTGAAGTTACAAACATGTATGCACTTCTAAAGAAACTACGGCTCGATGACTTCTGTTGCATCTCAAACTTCAAGGATACAAATCAAGATGGAACCAAAGCTGTCCAAAAAGACTATAGGTTTGCAACAATGCATCAAGAGGGAATCGAACCCCCGGCGGGTCGAGACGGCAAACGAAATTGAGTCTCGAATGGCAACGACCCAGGTTACCACTACCCCATTGATGCAACAACGTCTCGCGCCTTATTGCGCCAGCCAGCACGATGAGCACATATGTGTTGTTGTGCGGTGCTGGCTGGAGCATGTTTTGTGTCTGTGAGTTCGAATGACTAGGGCAAATTGGACGCCAGGGGTGACCTTATTGGATGGTCGGCACGTCGGTATGGTTGTAACTGGGTTTGAAGTCGTTGAACGATATGTTCAGCTGAGTTCACCAGCAACAGTACAAAAGAGCCGCGCCTATTCATCTGGCAGGACACAACGGCGTTCAGCACTCCCTTGATCATACCATTGTCCCATCTGAGCTCTGCGGTGCCAAAATCACAGTCGAAGAAGGGGAAAGGGAACCAAGAATGTTTCCCAACCGTAGGCCCAGTGCGCTTCCATGAGGATGATATTGACTTTGTACGCTGACTATTGGGTTAGTCTGGAAAATACCTCAGACTTCCATAGACCTGAAGCGGCATGAGAGGACTGGAGGCCCAGCCGCAGTACAATGGCAGTCAGTCGGGGGAACGTTGAGGAAGATCCAAGTGGCTGAGACTCGGGCCTAAGCGTGCCAGCCAATCGACACGCGAGATTTAAATGTTACCGGCAAACACCGAGCCACAGAAAATAGAACATGACAGCGCCCAAAATGAACCTCAAACCTCTTGCCCTCACAAGGCGCCCATATAATGCCTGTGTCTACCCTCAGCACACTGCACTCCAGGCGGTATGCAAGGGGAAGGGGCCCTTGCATTATAATATCTTCTCCTTGAGCCAGCATCGTCCGAGTCGTATGATCCTCATCCGAAGGCTCCCCTTCTCCTGCAATTACAGTGGACCACGGCACGGAAGTGCAGCTGCCCATTTATTCATGTAAGGTACGCCAAACTGACGACCGCGGGGGGTTACTTCGACCAGATTCTGCCAATCTACAGGCGGTCGTCTGCGTGCTACCAACAATATCGTTAGTTCACCCAATCGCATCGGGAGGCTCCCAGAGGCCACTCAGCTCGCTTTGCATCCCAATCATTGGCTTTACTTGATTCTTTATGCGTTTTTCAAGACTTGCTCTAGGTCGGTAGGATAAGGGACGGGTGACGCTTGGGCTGAACACACGTTTGGCAGGCGGAGAGACACACCTGTAACTCTCGCTAGCCTTTCAAACACAGCACTGGGTTGTCACATGGATCCAGATCTTATCATCCAAAACAGTCGTCAAAGAGTTCATGGTCATCTGACCTGAACCGAATACCAGCCGTGCCAATCATGCTTGTTACATCCCTTCCTTTCTCTCCAACGCGATTCACCTTGCACCTTCTCAAGTCCGTATGGCCGCCTTTCCGCCAGAACTTATTAAGAATATTGCTGAACAGGTAAACAACACCCACTGTCCATCCCTACTTAGTAAGCTAAGAAACTTGAACACAAAGGGAACACATCAAGAAACGAAAGCCCTCCGACTCGTCTGCCACACCTATGCAGCCCTCCTTCAAGCAACCGCCCTCCGCAAATTCACAATCCACCTCGATCGTGAACGCTACCACCTCAACCCTTCCAGACTCGAATTCCGTTTCCGTGCTCTCGAATGGCTCGCAGCAGAAGCAGAAACAGACACACACCCCGGATCAAGACTCACGACCGAGCTTGTCATCGATGAAATATTCCTGAATGATAACGAACATGCTCGGCTTGGTGTTTGTTTAGGACCTGCCATTCGTGCGCTAAAGAGTGTCACCAAGGTCTAGTGAGTCGCGATCGCCTGGCGCTGGGCTCATGAATCACCCTCTCACCATTGTACGCACATAGCTGGGAAACGGACAGCGGACCCAACTCAACGTCCGACGCCCTCAAGCAGCACTACAGCACCATAACACAGTCGCTCACGCCCCGTCTATCTTTTCTCACCTCCCTCAAAATGGGTGCACACAGGTTCTCCCGCGACGCTGCCAACTTAACTCTCTTAAGACCAACGGGTAGTGCCAGCCCTCCCTCGTTCCCCAACCTCAATACTCTCTACCTCTGGAATATTGATAGATCATCGAGGCGGGATTTAGACACTGTAGGACAGACAGTGTGTGTTGCGCCGCGCATATGCGATTTAAATGTCAGCTTGCGAATGCGCAGCATACGGGCGTTTGAAGCGTCCAATAGGTATACATCACCGATCCCTATTCAGACGTTCTTACCACCGCCACCTCCTCTCATTGCCGATAACAACAATACCGCAACGTTAACAGTCCAAACTCTAACGCTATCGACCGAGTCCCGCTTTATAAATAGTACATCGCCCACCCTCCCACACCTCCCACACCTGCAGTGCCTAACACTCCACATCGGGTGTACCCAGCACCCACTTCCTCTTGAAACGACCAGCAAACCCGCAATATACAAGCATACAGTATGGGATGCACTGAAGGAAAGCGGGATCAAGCTTCGGCGACTGGATACCGACGACCTTTGTCCCTCGTTAATTCGGTACTTATCTGCGTATGGGGGTGTATTGGAGGTGTTGGCTATTAGCCATCATATATCTGCGCAGACTATCAATGGCAGTAACATCCAGACGAATGCATCGACAATGGAGTTGTTGAGCGGGGTGGCACGCGAATTCTTCAACGCGGCCCTCCCCCTACATGCAGCAAGCCTCACTCACCTCTCCCTCAACGTCAATCACGAGTGGTGGGGAACGTGGTGGTTCGGCCCTGGAATGGTCCTGGCAAAATCTTTTCCGCAACCGAACTGTGTTTTTGCAAAATTGGAGGAGCTGGGGATGGCGGTCATGCTGCCTATTGCGGAAGAGAGGTTGGGAGGTGGTGCATTGGACGGAGAAGATACCGACTATCTAGTGAGTTTATAATCCCGGTACCGATAATCACTCCCATCCAAGCACTGACACACACACAGAAACGCCTGCTAGAGGTCACACTTCTCCGCCCAACCCACTTCCCTGCGCTCCATACTCTCAAAACCCGCACCCCAAGCCCAAACTCAATCTTGCCTCCTGCGAAATATACCACCCGAATTGAGGGCTACCGACTCGGAATCCCTGTGGGAGAAGGGCCAGCAACCTCAGCATCGGCGGAAAGGGAGAGATTCCGGGAAAACAAGTTTAGGTTTATGCTGCAGTTTGAATATGAAAAGTGGACTGCCCTTGTCGATGATGATGAGCACGGAGTTGTGCGATTTGAGAATATAGTCGTACCTAAGAAATGATAATGATACTGACTTGGATAATATGGATCCCGGATTGATTCATCTCAACAAAAGCTCTGACTCGGATAATTCCAATTCTTAGCTAACTGATTTTCAATGGATTTTTATCGAAGGAAGAGGGGTGGCCAAGAAATACCGACAAATTTATTTCTTTTACGAAGTTTTACTACTCATTAACTATCTTGATAAGGCGATGCTGTACATACATGAGATATAACCTTCTAAGCATCCCTTGAGTTCAGTTGGGAGTCATACTAATGATCAGCCTCTTGAATCGAGTATCTGTCCTCAGAGCTGGCCAACTTGTAGGAACAGCAATGAAGTGGGTAGTTTACCATATCGTAAATGAGCTCCTTCGGTCTTGTGAGAATGGTAGCGCCAGCCGTTCGAGCCATAGCAACAGCCTCATCATACTTGTTATCCTTGTAAGGCCGGTCAACTGCGTACATCTCCTCTTCCTCCCAAGGGCACTCATAAAAGGCAATCGTATGATCCTTTGGCCCCTCGTATTCCAATCTTCTAGACCTTAACCATTGTACGACCTGGTCGATGCCCCTGGAAATGATTCCGTCTAACGAATAAGGCGACCATGTGTCGGTGCATACGAGAACTTGTAGATTCCTGAGCGCTAAGTTTGAGCCGGAGGTTTCAATCCAACGGAAAAAATCATAGTCCGCAACATGCAATCGTCGGACCTGCTGAGCCCCAATAGATATCAACGAGGCAAGGTTCTGCGCATATATGCCAGAATTCTCCAGCGACAAGGTATGGAACTGTGGGGTTGCTGTCAATCTCGCAACAATTCGTCCAACATCCTCAACATCCTTTATATTCGTCCTCCCCCATATCCCATCGAGTCCTTCAATCCGAAGAAATTGAAGCTGGGGAAACTCCAGCCAGCGCAGTGAGCAATTAGCCTTCATCCCCCGCACGATTACCGTCTTCACCATCGGGTTCGTTGAGAGAATGGCATGTGTGCTGTCGGCAGCGTTACTTTCTTGGCGGAGGCCCGTAAGGCTGAGGATGACTTCTTCCAATTGAGGCAAACATACAGGTGAGAGCAATGACGCAAGAGTTTGTGGGCTTGAAAGCTGTATATCACGTCCCAGGTGCAGGGATGTGATTGAGGAGTGCTGAAACGGATTCAGTCGGAGTTTGTTAAGGAAAAGGGCTGTCATCCTGGGCAAAATGGCGCTGAGAGGCTTTGCCGACGTCAGAGTAGGGGGGGAGCGGGAACTACAAGTGAGGGTCAGCCTCTCGGTAGAGCATGGCGCTTCTTGCCAGTGGGCTACGACACCGAGAAGATTGGTGGGGGACAAATCGAGAATCGCAAGATAAATCCATTTTCGACCATTCAAAAACGATAGAAAGCTGTCTATGTTGCTTTGTCCGTAGGGGAAGCCCATCTCGAGGTCGATCGAGAGCGCTACCTCTGCTCCTTGTCCCCCACGATTGTACCAGCGTGCCAAAGTGTCAAAGAAGTTCTGGGTATTCCCACTGGGAATTGTATCGACTTTGAGCCCTCTCCAAAGCTCTGGAGTGGCGAATGCAATGCTTCTCCACAAAGGGCAAATGTGTCGTAGCTTCAAGAAGTGGTTCCGGTCTGACGAGGTCATTAATATGCGAGGAAATGATGATTTGATGATATGGGCAATGAGTTCGGCAGGAAGGTGACGGAAGGGGGCCAAGAGGTAAATGTGAGCTGATTTCTCCTCGCACAGCGTTTCACGCTTGCATTTGAGTGCTTCGAGCTCTGGCGTCGTTGTATAGCTTGATAGGTCCTTTAGGAGACTGGACCTCTTTTCAT